CCCCCCAAAAACCTAAACAGTCTCAATTATCAAGCCATTTTGATTTTGGAATGAATACCAGCGCTCTCTTCCACCTTCAGCGGGATCGGGAAAGGTCCGATTTGAATATGGGACACCCGAAGTGCTGTATGTCAGCACGCTGCCCACAAGGTTATTGGTGTCAACACACTTTTTATTTTTTATGATTATTTGCGAATCGTGTTTGCTCTTCCACAGAAGAGAGGGGCGGGGGGGGCAAAGCTCATTAGCATGTAAAGAGATATGCACGGAAACGAGTCGCTGTGAACAGAGCTGTTTTTGACAAGGTAAAAAGGGTGTTGTTTTACACGACCACTGAGACCATTTCAAGAATACCCTAAAGAATCATACCAACTTGTGGAAAATGGGCATCTGAAGCACAGCCACCACAAAATCAGACTTACTTTAAAATCATTCTGAGGTTAAATACATATTTAAAGTCATAACAAGAAATAGTTTAATAGCTATGATACTGTTTTTGAAATCAAATCTTTGCATAGCTATGACAGGAAACACTGGAATCTGCCTTAGTGTTGCCTTAGAAAAAACAGTTAATCTTAAAAAAATAAAGCATATACATAAGCTTGTTATAAACTTCTGAAACATTGGTGTTTCATATTTTAGAGCAGTCACTGCAATTTATGAAAGAACTCAATTAAATCTGTATGTGGGAGTGTATGTGAAAAAATCAGATGTAACTCCTTTGTAATCCTTAACATTTTCATAAGTAACTGTAATTTAATTACACATTTTTTCTTAGTAACTGTAACTGATTACAATTACTTTTATTTTCTAATTAAATTACGTAATTCTGTTACATGTAACTAGTTACTCCCCAACACTGCTGCAGTCTATGTACTTTTTTTAACTGGATGAATGAAATTTTTTTTCAGTGCATATTGATATGTAAACATATTAGATATATCTTATCTATATTGGTCAATGTGCTTGAAACTCGACTGCACATTCAGCATACATTTAAGTTGCCTAATTTTGCATGAATAACAGGTGACAAATCAAATGCTTAAAATAAAACTCGTATTTCCAAGATACTGAGGATACTGAAAGATTAATAAAGAGTGTGTCTATTTCAAACCAAACATATGTATGTTATAAGCTACACAGAAGAGTCATGCCCATTTAAACTGCATAGGTTATTGGTTATAATAAATTGCCTGTATATTTTGTTTGTGTTGTTTTTTTCCTGATTTTAATACTGGATGATTTCATTTGCACATTCTTCAGTGTCAAATATTCATCAGATCTATTGAAGTTGCGGTATGTTCATATTCAGCCAAATTCTGCCATGTCCAGGAAAAAAAAAGAGTATGTATGTTCACCCTATAAACTGTACATACTGTTACAATGATATTAAATCACTTATCCAATGATATAAGATTTTGGCCATATCTACCATTTCTAAGCCATTCGTTCATTGATTTGCCCTACTCAAAGGCCTCAAAGTTTCTTCCTTGCCTAAGCTAGAACTCTGAGCTCGATGTTTGAAATAAAACACACCCCCTCATTACCACATGGACAAAGAAATGTATGAATGAAAATAAATAAATGTTGGGGAAAAATGCAACTATACATAAAGCAAATATAAGTAGAATTACAATTCCATATCTATGAGGCGCCACGTAGGATTTAAATCGTAATGAAAAATAGTCGTCAATTATTCCTTACACAATCAATTCTCTGATGCATCATGATTGTCTTAAGATTCTGAATTCTGAGTTTAAATTTTGACAGCAGCCCGTTGTCAAGGCATGACGATTTAAAATGTAAATAATTCGTATTTGTTTGCTTAGTCAGTGTATTTGTGAATTTTGGTTAATTTGCTGTTGTACTGTAGGCTGTAAGGACCTTTGAAATAACTGCAATATTTTGGTGAAGTGAGTGATGTCATTTAAGTGTGTGCTAGAGACAGACACATTCTGCTTGCTGACAAACAACGCACACACAAATATGGAATGCCAAAGCTCCCAAAATAATAATGAAATGCATAAATTAAATATACAAAGAAATATAAATAAATAAATGCATAAATCTACTAAGAAATGTAAAATTAATAATAATAATAATAATAATAATAATAATAAATAAATATTGCTGTCAACAGACCTGGAACTACTTAATAGTATAGGTTTACTGGAAAATAATTGCTCACCTTAGAACAGGGGTAGGCAAGTTCGGTCCTAGAAAGCCGCAGTCCTGCAGAGTTCAGCTCTAACCCTGAAAAAAAAACTCACCTGCCTATAGCCTTAGTAATCCTGAAGACATTGATCAGCTTGTTCAGGTGTGTCTGATTAGGGTTGGAGCTGAACTCTGCAGGACTGCGGCTCTCTAGGACCGAACTTGCCTACCCCTGCCTTAGAACATTCATCAACCAATCAGAATCACACATTTAACAGTGTGGTATAATATATTATGCATATTATGCTATTTAGTATCCTAAGTGAACTCATTATTGTCATGATTTTTTGGTTTAGTTTTAGTAATATAATCTACAAGCATGATTCCCACAAAGAAGGAACTTTTTCATTTGTTATGCATTTGTAGGTTGTATGGACTGATATTGGTAATGAAAGGAAGAAACAACCTCCACCAAGCTTTTTGTCTCAGCACGTTCCAGGACTCTCTAACTCTCCAAACTCCACTTCTTCAGGATTCAGTTCAGAAGAGTCAGTTGTAAGGTCATTTTACTCTGAATTTGGAATCAGTTTAGATGGCTACTCCAGGTTACAGCAGGCTGTTTACTGGGATGGGCCTGACAGGTCAATCACAAATGTGTCCACGAGTACTAGTCCAGCCCACACCACATTCAACATTGAGAACCTGAAAGAGAGCTTCCAAACTGGTGAGGAGCTTTTTGTTACGGTGCACGCAAAGGACTTTGACAGTAAATCCAAGAGTTATGGAGGCGACTTTTTTCAAGCCAAGCTGTTCTGGTCTAAAACTAAGGTGAGTGATTGAACACATAATTTTACTAGAACTAATTAGCTGTTGTACTGTACCAGGGTCAGACAGAGAGAGTTGTACTGAGAATGTTCCTCTGTCACAGGCCAGTGTGTTTGGGGAGGTGGTGGACCTGCTCAACGGCTCCTACTCTGTGCATTTCCTCCTGCCGTGGGTCGGCGAGGCCCAGGTGGCTGTGCGTCTAATTCACTCCAGTGAGGCTGTGCAGGTCCTGAAGCGTCACAGAGATACTGACTCTGACAGGGTGTACTTTAATGGATTTTACGAGGGACCAGGACCAAATAAGACCAGGCTGAGTGAAGCAGTGATGTGTAATGTTAAGTGGGACAAGAATGGACTAGAGCATATGGGAACTGGAGACTGTTGCTGTGAATACAAAGATCCCCGTACCGAAGAAATATGGCGCTGCCAGAGACCCAAATCCCTGCCATGCAGTGCCCGTGTGTACCATTCTATGGGCGGTTATAGAAACCGTCTGTTAAATGATTCATGATTGACTTTATACTTGATTTATTTAATGCATTGATGGAAGGCAGTATGACAGACAAACATGTTCTCTTTGACAGGACGCAAACTAACAAAGGTATCAATGGAGATAAGAGCATCATCAAAATTGTTCATTCCCATGGAAATGAAACTATTGGTATGTTGGTCAATAGTTTAACCCAGAGGAATAGTACAGCACAGAGATGCTGGGAAATGTGTTGCACAAAAAAGAGGAATTAATAAAAAAAATAAAAGACCAGTTTAGGCAAATTTTGGCAAACTCATACCTTCCTTAAAGACCTTACAGTCTCCATTTACTCATCTTCCAGATGTAGCAGAGAAATGTCATCCTGGTTTACACACTCCAGTTCCAGCCGGCTTTTACCTCAATGATGTGTGGACGTCTTTTGTCTGTAGCACCCGACATTTTACAACCCAAACGACAACAGAGTGCCTGAAAGACAAACACATTTACATGATGGGAGACTCTACCATGAGACAGTGGTTTGAGTTCTTTGTGAAAGTAGTACCAAGTGAGAATTTATTCATTGGTTAAATAATTATATATTATATATACAGTGTGTACAGTAATTTTGGGATCATATTTGTTGGTGTCACTCACTGTTTTTCAGCCCTGAAACAGATGAACCTGCATGTTCAATATCAGTCAGGGCCGCTCCTAGCAGTGGATGTGAAGAACAACATTGACTTACACTGGAGGGCTCACGGCATTCCTCTGCGCAGCCGAAAATCAGCAGTTGCTAATCTGCACTACATCAGTAATGAGATCGATGACCTGGCTGGAGGATCCCACACAGTCATTATGTTCAATCTGGGGCCCCATTTCACCACGTACCCTCTGGATTTCTACACCCATAGAGTGTTGAGGATCCGCAAAGCTGTTCTAGCATTGTTACAGCGGGCGCCTGACACTACCGTTATAATCAAGACTGTCAACACTGGCTATAAGGTAAGCTTATACAGTATCATGTGTTCAAATACAAGGAGGCCACACTGTGATGGCACGTTCAGGGTTGATGTTGCATTTCTCTGTCTTTATAATAGGATATTTTCGGGAGTGATTGCCCTGCTGGTGATAAAGGCATGAACAAGTTTCTCCAAGTCTTGACTGGAAACAAAACATCTAATTCTTGCAATGTTTTTGAGATGATAGTATGCTGATTTAGTTGATGAGACATATAGGTGAGCACCACTATAAAGTCATAATTATGAGTAGGAAACTCTGAACATTATGCACCCTGATTGGGAGTGTTCTTCTGATCTCCCCAAGTTGGGGGAGTGTCATTGAGAAAATGTGGGATGCATTGGATGCAGCGTCTGCATTTAGAGTAAATTTGTTTAAATGAATGAAATTATAAATGTTTCATTTGCAATAAACCTATCCAAGTCACATGTACAAAATACAATATTATTGTACAATATATAATGATTCAGTTCTCCCTTTCATTATTTATCAAGTAATATTCCACATTTACAGCACATGCATCCCAAATTGTAACTACTTCATACACCTATTTTGTAACCTTAATATGTGTAGCAGCCTTGAAAGTACTGTTAACAAATAATTTAACATCTTAACTTTTGATTCATTGAGACACAAGCGTTTTCTTACAGCAGTCACATTCCTGCACATACAGTATAAGCACACAGAAAACTGGTAAAGCTGGTTGTAATTGTTTAATTAGTTCATACGGCAACAGCTGTTCCATTTCTGTTTGTCAAATGTCTGTGAAACTTGTCCAGCTGTCACATGTTGACATTAATATCAACTTCCAACCCGACATGCATTCTCATGTTCATGCCTTTTTTTCTTTTACACAGAATTATAGCTATGCACATAATCTATGAGATTTATGAATCTGAGTTTAATTTGAACCATTTTATAACCCTTCATAATGGTTTTCCGGGTTCTGACGTCACTGCACCACTCTATAGAATCAAGCAACTTTATTCACAAAACAAATGTGTAAATTGTTTGTAAAACCAGTCCTATGTAAATCGTTGCACTGAAATGACAATTTACATAGGAATAGCTTTACAAATAATTTACACAATTCGCTCTGCTCCTTTCCTGAGGTTCAATGATTGTAAGTCAAGAGGACAAACATTCAAAATTTAGCATTTTTATGAATACACCTAATCATGAGGCAGAAGTGAACCCAATGCCAAACAATTTGTGTGCCATCCAAACACAGTCAACAAATTTGGACACAAATTCACTTGATTGAATTTATATTTCTTGAGGGGATGATAACTCATTTGATATATTCCTTCACAAAAAGAGTAACTCAGGAGTGAGGCAGCATAAAACAGATGAGAAACTCTCAGAAGTTGAGAAACCTGTCTGTGACCAGTCTAGCTCAGCACAGCTTGTTGAAACTATTGTGAAATCCTGTGGTTGTGAATGACTGTTTGCATTACCCATAGTCTTCTTTTTGCTGGTTGTCATCTTAATTGTTTCTTTCTTTCTTCAGGGAGGTGGTGCCATTTTTATTGTATTCATCTGATTTTTCCTGTTTTTTGGCTATACATGCACAAACAAAACTGAGAAAATCAAAGCCATAAATCTAAATAAGAAGTATCTAAATTTGAGGTAAATATCTAAAAAAAAATTAAAAAAAAATCTTTCAGTATGACTTTGTCTGGGCGTAGTCTCAAACATTTCCATTAGATGAAATTCTCCTCCCATTCATTTCCAATGCGGTCATTTTTGACTCTGAAGAGTAGAAGTGACTCTTTTTTTTTTAACCATTTTATAACCCTTCATAATGGTTTTCCGGGTTCTGACGTCACTGCACCACTCTATAGAATCAAGCAACTTTATTCACAAAACAAATGTGTAAATTGTTTGTAAAACCAGTCCTATGTAAATCGTTGCACTGAAATGACAATTTACATAGGAATAGCTTTACAAATAATTTACACAATTCGCTCTGCTCCTTTCCTGAGGTTCAATGATTGTAAGTCAAGAGGACAAACATTCAAAATTTAGCATTTTTATGAATACACCTAATCATGAGGCAGAAGTGAACCCAATGCCAAACAATTTGTGTGCCATCCAAACACAGTCAACAAATTTGGACACAAATTCACTTGATTGAATTTATATTTCTTGAGGGGATGATAACTCATTTGATATATTCCTTCACAAAAAGAGTAACTCAGGAGTGAGGCAGCATAAAACAGATGAGAAACTCTCAGAAGTTGAGAAACCTGTCTGTGACCAGTCTAGCTCAGCACAGCTTCTTAAAACTATTGTGGAATCCTGTGGTTGTGTATTACCTTTTTGCTGGTTGTCATCTTAATTGTTCCTTTCTTTCTTCAGGGAGGTGGTGCCATTTTTATTGTATTCATCTGATTTTTCCTGTTTTTTGGCTATACATGCACAAACAAAACTGAGAAAATCAAAGCCATAAATCTAAATAAGAAGCATCTAAATAGGTAAATATCTAAAAAAAAATTAATAAATAGGTAAATATCTAAAAAAAAAAAACTTTTGATTCATTGAGACACAAGCGTTTTCTTACAGCAGTCACATTCCTGCACATACAGTATAAGCACACAGAAAACTGGTAAAGCTGGTTGTAATTGTTTAATTAGTTCATACGGCAACAGCTGTTCCATTTCTGTTTGTCAAATGTCTGTGAAACTTGTCCAGCTGTCACATGTTGACATTAATATCAACTTCCAACCCGACATGCATTCTCATGTTCATGCCTTTTTTTCTTTTACACAGAATTATAGCTATGCACATAATCTATGAGATTTATGAATCTGAGTTTAATTTGAACCATTTTATAACCCTTCATAATGGTTTTCCGGGTTCTGACGTCACTGCACCACTCTATAGAATCAAGCAACTTTATTCACAAAACAAATGTGTAAATTGTTTGTAAAACCAGTCCTATGTAAATCGTTGCACTGAAATGACAATTTACATAGGAATAGCTTTACAAATAATTTACACAATTCGCTCTGCTCCTTTCCTGAGGTTCAATGATTGTAAGTCAAGAGGACAAACATTCAAAATTTAGCATTTTTATGAATACACCTAATCATGAGGCAGAAGTGAACCCAATGCCAAACAATTTGTGTGCCATCCAAACACAGTCAACAAATTTGGACACAAATTCACTTGATTGAATTTATATTTCTTGAGGGGATGATAACTCATTTGATATATTCCTTCACAAAAAGAGTAACTCAGGAGTGAGGCAGCATTTAACAGGAGAAACTCTCAGAAGTTGAGAAACCTGTCTGTGACCAGTCTAGCTCAGCACAGCTTCTTAAAACTATTGTGGAATCCTGTGGTTGTGTATTACCTTTTTGCTGGTTGTCATCTTAATTGTTCCTTTCTTTCTTCAGGGAGGTGGTGCCATTTTTATTGTATTCATCTGATTTTTCCTGTTTTTTGGCTATACATGCACAAACAAAACTGAGAAAATCAAAGCCATAAATCTAAATAAGAAGCATCTAAATAGGTAAATATCTAAAAAAAAATTAATAAATAGGTAAATATCTAAAAAAAACAAAACAAAAAAAAAACCTTTCAGTATTCAGAGACGTGCTGAAATCGCGTTTGGTCTCGTACTGTATCGCGTACCTTGTCAGTGTCGTGTTCATGATATTTCAGTTGTTCATTTACATTTTGAGAATTTGGTTTGAAAGGAAAAATACCCCAAAGCTCCTTGAACGAATTTAGACAATTTATATTTTCAATTAGATCACAAATCCCTGAAGTAAACCCGGGGATTAAGGGGGTTACACTAGTAAGCAAGTAATACAGATTTATCAAAAGTAAAAGAAAAAATAATATTAATAAGAAATAAGAAAATTAATTATCATACAATTTTCTCCTGGATTATAAATTGGCTTGTCTGTTTGGATGAAAACGTACCCTCTTTTTGTTGACAAAAAAATGCTGGCTTTTTTTGCATTTCCGTCTTTGTCCCCAAAGACATCATTGCTTGTGGCTGCAAGCTGAACATACTCTTGCACTTTTGTACTTCCATACAAGCTGCGATGAACCTATGGTACATGAGTAAGAAAAGACACTGGAAGTTGAGAAACACACTTTAAAACTTTTAAAAATATGAATTGTACAGACATACCTTAAGTTTTATCACAGCCTGGTAGTTATTGTCCTTAAGGATTATAGATTTCTTTTCGGACACATTTTTTTTGAGAGATCTGGTCTTGAAAGTATAGCTGCATACTGGTTCCTTTAGTTGCTCCATGAAGCTGCACACTCACAGTCTCTTCCACTCCCACGTGAATTATATTTGGAGCAACAATTAGACATCTAAGGTATAAATGCATACACATGCATAACTGCATAAACACTGATTGGATAGAACAAGATGCGGGTTATGAGCAAACAAGAAAATAAAATAGGTAAAATGTAGTCAATAATTCTAGTACTTACGTGGGTCTCTGTGAATCCACTGTAAGAAAAACAAAAACCACAAAAAACAGGACAGATCATCTTGCTGTTATACTTGTTCGTAGGCTATGCGTTTATTCCATTAGGACAGCTAACCTACTAACTCAGAATAGAAGGGCTATACCCACCTTCACAAAATTGGGCTTTGAAATGAAATCTAGGCAAAAACAGCATGGTCATGAGCTCATGAAGTCATGTGATTTACAGAAAATCTTGTTCATAACAGAACACAGCAGGGGAAGCAGCTGTCTGGAGCAAAGGCAACGAGAAACGAAAACAACAATCTAATACAGCACTTTTATGTATTATTTTATGCCATGTGTCTGTATTAATTTTAGTAATGTGATTAATAAAATGCCCCTTTTACTTAGACATATCAGTCTGAAATATCTCCATATTATGCATTGGGTTGGGAACTGAATCGCACGTGTCGTGCATTCAGTGGCGTGCACAGATCTCCGGAGGTGCAGGGAGTAGTGGCTTCACGAGGGCGCAGTCGGTTTACACCCTCAGTAGAAATCGCGGGGTAGAGGCAGGGTAGGTGATTTGGTTCAAAAACATTTGGTTGAAAGATTTTCACATCCCGATTGCAATCAAGTGGTCTGAATGAATGTATTTACATCGTCTGTGGAAGGCGAAGGTCCATAACATCCAATAGTATGTTCCTGCACAACCGGAGGCTGCAGTTCTAGGACCCTATTCTTTTGTAACAGCGCCACCTACCAAATTGGATCACTAAAGATGGACGACATGGACAGCAATCAGAGTGAGTAACTTTACCGATTTTCAATTAAGTTTTATTTTATAACCTTAAAACGATGCAATGTGGCAGTAAGTGGTCAGGAGATTGAAAATTACCAATAATAAGAAATCCTATAGTCGACTACGCCACCCGGAATACACCGGGACATAACAACCCTAAGCAAAGTGGAACAGGTTCGTTGCCAAAGGCAGGGTGAGCATGAAGATATAAACAACAAGAAAAAAATCACTTTAACATACAATCAAAATAAAAAAAAAAAACG